GGACCTGGAGAATGTGCACCTAGGTTGATTTGGCACCTGGGGGCACTATATACTCGTTTTTAATGAGGTGCAACTTCTCAATGTATGATGCTGGAAACAGGCTTTACTTCTGGGAGTCATTGGAACTTGTGCTGCAATGGTATAAAAAAGTTTTCAAAAGTTAAAACCATAATTCATAGAAAATAAAAAAATAAGCTAAAGACTTTTTATAACAAGTTTGTGTGCTACCTATTGTTGGCGGGAGAGTGGACCCTCACCTTGCCTGGGCAGCAGGGTTAGAACTGGCCCTGGTTATGGGGGATGGGCTGGGGATGTGGCTTGCCTGTGAGCTAGCCCCAAGGGAAAGAGAGTGGGAAAGCCAGTAGATTAACCATCTCAGATGCTTCTCAGGCCCAGATGCAGGGGCTGAATTGGCCCACCCCAACATCTATGCATCTATGAGTGCATGAAGGGACTTTAGTTTTAGATTCAAAACTAAAGGATCTCTGTGACACAGGGCAGCAACAGGCTATCCCAGAGCAGTCCCAGAGGTTCCAGTAGTGATAAAGTAGCAGAAGCCAGCGGCCTCATACCAGACCAATGCCTCACTGCAATGAGCATTTTCAAGCAAAGAAGTGTGGACAAAAGTGTATATTGTGGGACACACTGTGACACTACAGCTTCCACAATCTTTTTTTTTTTCTGTTAAGGGGGAGGTTACAAGGATGGCAGGTGGGTACAAAGGGAGGGGAAGATGAGTGGGGTTGGAGTGCATTCTATGAAATTCACTAAGAACCAGTAGAAAGTTAATTTTTCTGATTTGTGTACACATGTCCATATACATGCCTGTAGAAGCCGAGGAGGACACACTGGGTGTCTTCCCCTGTCTCTTTCCATCTTCTTGAGACAGGGTCTCTCACTGAACGTGCAGCTCAGCCTTGCAGACAGGCTAGCTGATCAGTGAGCTCTGGGACCCTCACGTCTCCACTCACCAATGCTAGGGTTACAAGCATGTGCAGTGATGCCCAGCTGCTACTGCAGTGCTAGGGATTTGAACTCAGGTTCTCTTCTTCCTGGGGTAGCAAATGCTCTCACTCAATCACTCACTGAAGCTGGATAGCTCAGAGATCTAGGGCAGAACCAAACACAGCTGGGAAAGTGAATAAGCAAAGTCAGTGCAATGGTTCCTCCTGATATTCTGCTATGCTTGGTGCTTTGTCCAGCTGTCACCAGAGAGACTTCATCTGGCAGAAGATGGGAGCGGGCGCAGAGTTCAAAGTCAAACATTCAAAGAGTAAAAATTGGAGGTCTCTAACCAGTCCCTCCCCTTGGAGCTTAGGGAACCCCTTTGAAGGGGAGGACTGAGTCAAGAAAGGATGAAGGACACCAGAGCATGACCCACGGAATCTACGAAGTGTGCCCACACAGACTGAAATGGCAAGCACAGGGCCTGCATACGTTTGCACCAGGTCCTCTGTGTAAAGGTTCTGGCCATGAGTTTGGTGTTTTGTGGGACTCCTAACAGCGGGAGAGGGTATGTCTCTGAATTCTTTACTGGCTTTTGGGACTCTTTACTTCCAGTTGGGTTGTCTTGTCTAGTCTTGATATGAGGGCTTTTGCCTTGTCTTATTGTATCCTGTTCTGTAGTGTTTGGCTGTCATCTCTTAGAGACCTGTTCTTTTCTGAAAAGTAAATGGAGGAGAGTGGATCTGGAGAATGGGGAGGAAGGAAGGGCTGGGAAGAGTGCAGGGAGGTGGAGCAGGAAAGAGGAAACTGGGATGTATTGCATAAGAATCCATTTTCAATAAAAAATTTTATTTACTTTTATATGTATGATTGTTTTGCTTAAATGAACATATGTGTACTCTGTGTCTAGCACTTGAAGAGGCTGAAGAGGGTGTTTGGCTCCTCTGGAACTGAAGTTTCAGATGTCTGTGAGCCACGATGTGGGTGCTGGGAACCAAACCTGGGTGTTCTGCAAGGGCAGCCAGTCCTTTCAACTGTTGAGCCATCTCTCCGACCTCCACTGAGCCCATGTAACTGAATTAATAAGGCAACCGGGAAGATGTACAGACTGAATTAGAAATAAAAAAAAACCTGGAGACTTACACAGAAGTAATATTCACCAACATACAGAGCTGGTTCAGAGGTGCCCAGCAATCCTTTCTGTTCCTGGGCAAGAACCAACAGTATTGTTTTCACTTGCTACAAAGTGAACCTTCATGGGCTACGTAGCCTAGGCATGCCTTAAATTCCACCATCCTCCTGCCTCAGTCCCAAGCTGGTGCTAAAATTACAGGCAAGCCCCACCACATCTAGAAAAAAACAAACCAAAACCAAAACCAAACCAACAACAAAAATCCAACAACATCAAAAAAACATCTACTTTTTAATAAAGCTGTAAAACAGCCTTCCTAATCAGCCAACAGGAGGTACCTAGCCCTATAACAGGCGACAGGCAGCTGTGCTGAGGGGCTCTGAGCATTTTCTGCTCTCTGCTCAGAACTGCATGCTTCATCTTGACTAGAGCTACAGACTTGAAAGTAGACACACACACTCATCTCCCCAAACAGCCCCTTCCCGAGGAACCCTCCTGTACCCATGCTTTATCATAAGTTCTGCAGTCAGACCATGTGGGTTTCAAATCACGGTATTGTGAATGACTACTGGATGACACTGGGCAAACTGCTTAAGCTCTCTGGTCTCAGCTTCATTACCATGAAGAAGGGGTAGTGGCACCTTCTTGGCTTTGTGCTGGGGATTAAATGACATAAGGCCAAGTGGTCATTCAACAGGGGTCACAGCACTACTGTGAAGAAAAGGTTCAATAGTTTGTCAATCTTTATTCAGAGGGTTTTAAAACATGAAAAAATACATAAAATAACCAGTCTCCCACACATTAGAAAGGACTGTGCATAGACATTCAAAGCAGAGGCAGGAATGAGGACACCACTGTGGTGACCCAATTCAAAGTGTTAATTAAACTTGTTTAAGAAACCATGTTCAATTTTACTGCTATATAAAGGACAATTTACCTCTACCAACTTGAGTTAAAAGGAATAAAAACACAGGAGTTGACCCTTTGTTTGGATGCCCCAATGTCCAAAGGATATCAGCTTTTCTTCTCCAGCTCCTTTCATAAAGAGACGTCACAGCACGTTAAGGGACCAACCAAGGAAAGTGCACTGCTGACACAGAATGTGGGTTACGCTAACAAGAGGCAGGCAGAGCACTGACTGAGAACAAGCCTGCTTTAAGCATCCAGTCCGTGTGACAGCTTCACTGTGTAATCGTGTGTTGCTAGTAAAATATGCCCTCTTACTGTACATTGTCATTTTTACTTTGCCCCCAAAGCTAAAGAAGAGCTGAATAAACCGAGACAGAGAGACAGACACACATACACACTACAAGTAAATATATCAATTTTGGATCTCTCTTGCCAAATCTCGGCTTATGCAACCATAAATTAAAACAACAGACAAAAAGGAACAGCACTCAATAGCACAGCAGTACCGGCTACCAAGTGCCCCTGAAAACAATGGACAATTACATACCATAGCTCAGGATTGGACATGAAATAGTTAACATAAAAATGAGAGCAAAATAACTAAGAAAGTGACAGTTTTTCCAAAGCCTGGCTACATTTTCATCTTTTCCTTAACATTCTTTTGAGGGGATATTTCTAAGTTAAATTAAAAAAATTTCCCTCAAGAAGTTCTCCAAAGCAGCATGAAATCAAATCTGCTGGAAAAGCAAAAGTGAAGGTCAAAATTGAGCCTCCTTATTCACTAAGTAACTGCATCTCAACAACCCACACCTGATGGGGGCTGGATGAGATCATTTCCAGTTCCCTGTGAGGTGGGATTGCACCACAAAGCTCTCAGACAGCTATAGCCCACAGTTCAGTGGGCGTCCACCAAAGGGAGTCATGTCTACCTGAAGACAGTGTTGATGGCCACCACAGTTTTGCTTGTTTTTGAGATGGGTCTTACTCTATAATTCGGCTAGCTTGGAACTCACTACATAGACCAGAGATCCACCTGCCTCTGCCTCTCCAGAGCTGGGATTAGGGCTGTGGGCCACCATGCTTGGCTTAATGGCTACTGAGTAGGTTACTCCTCATACAGTTTAAAAAACACCGAAAGGTGCTAGGATTTAAGAAAGTAAACCCAATGGTGATTTCTTATAACTACAATGCTGACCTAGCTTTTGGAGGTCTTGTAAAAGCTACCCAGGAGCTCATCAATAAACTGGGTATTTATGATTTTGAACAACAACAACAACAAAACCAAATGTAGCAAAATGCTGCTGGGAAACAAAGTCAGGCTTCCACTTTGCAGCTTCCTGTTCCTTCAGCAAAGATTCTAAAAATGTGTAAAAATATCTGAGAAAGCCAAATAAATGATGGATGTACTGGAAGTGTTCCACACCCGGAAATATTTCAGACAGCCAGTGGAGGGAGAGGTGAGTCTTCACCCGAGAAGACCATTTCCAACCTAACAGAAGCCACCAGTCACGCTCAAGCCCCTGAGACGAGACTGTGTGGCTTCTTCTTCCTACAGGTGTCACTTGAGGAGCTGAGGGACACTGGAAGTCCATGGGCCGAAGACTGCTGCACTAGGTAAAAACGACTGTTTAAAATGGCATCAAGAAGAGCTTTGACATTTTAAATTTGAATGAAACACCCATCACAGCATGTGTTATTTAAGATTTTTGTTATGGAACAGAACAACAGAAAAGGGAGGTGAGACTCCGCAGAGAGAAGAGAATGTGCACTATAAGTGAACATGGCACGCCCATGTTAATGAGCTGAGCACGAGGCAGGTCTGTCCTAAGCCAGAAGGCAAATATATTTTTAACCCTGGGTTGAAACAAGTAGTTCAGATCCTTTTTTTTTTTTTTTTTAACCTTTAGCTTACTTTTAAAAATCTTTTTTCCTGCTATCAGTCACTGATAACTGCCTGTCTTGACATCCCTTGATGTTCATTCCTGACAGGCTCTGGAGAGGATGCCTGATCTGAGTGAGCTGCATCCTTGGATTTCACCAATCAACGATTGTAAAGACAGGAAAGAGATGCATCTTCACTAAACATGTACTCTTTACCCTTTGACAAGCACAAGGAAACCGGCCCTTCCACAGACTTGTCCTGAAGCAGCTGCTGTAACCCACCAAGAAATGGTGTCACATTCACAGGATGCTAGGCAAAGGCTATACATCAGCACCATTGAAGGATTGCAGCATGCGAACACTGCAGCTTCAGAGGGTCCTGGAAGCAATCTCCCAAGGACACTGAGGGACAACTGTACTGTTAAGTACCAATAAATCAAGAAGCCAACATGAAAGGTTCAGTTCAAAGTGCTTTTGTTAAAGTCGGGAGTCGGTATTTTTGTTACAATGACTACTTTTTGATCAGCTCAGTTTGACAAACCAAAAGATGGCTGACTCTGATGAAACACTCAACCACGTGGCAAGGCGAGAATCCTGTCAGTGTCAAGTCTTGAGGTAGAAAATTTACTGCTTGTTGCTGAACACACGAACAATGAATACTTAAGCATCATAGTTTGCAAATGGCATGAAGATGCTGTGAATCCCATTAACACAGAAAAGCCAGTCTAAATCAATCATGAGCTTGGCCTGTGGGTCTTTAGACATCTCTGCATTTCTTTTGCATTCTTACAGTTTCTCTGAATAGATCTTATCTATTGTCCTTTAATATGAAGGAGGGACCCATATCTAGAAAGCACCTCGACCTCCTCTGCTCACATCTACTCCTTACCCAGGCATGGAGAAGCAGTCAGGACAGGAGCTGGGCAGGGCAGATGCTGCGCTTCTGGTATGGCACTGGCCTCTTACACCAGTGAAGTGTGGGATGGGGACTCTCTGATTTGTCATTTGGGCTTAGACTAGGAATTTGGAGATCAAATATTGAGAAAACCAAGAATTCAGAGGAGTCTTCCATTACCTCATCAAATCTTGTCAACAAACAATTAATTCTGTTAAAAACAAGTCACAGCACATGTTACATATATATGATGATCAGACTAGTGGGCTGGTTTGGTGCTGTGAGTGGGAGATGAAGATGCTGAGGGGCACAGCTGGGCACGGCTGGACAGCAGTCTGTTTCAGGTCTACCATATTCTGTGCAGACAATGCTAAGAACACGGTGGAGTGTTTTTACCAGCCTGAATGCAAACACTGACTCTGTTTGTTTCAAGTGGCGTGATCCCGCCACACCTTATTTAAAACGGATCACTGTAAGCCTAGCACAGACCACTGAGAGGCAAGAGACAGCAAGGGGAGGCAAGAACACACCTCAGCACAGCCAGGGGCACCTCCTGGCTTCTGCACCAATGACCTAGAGGACAGAATGGAAGCCCCTAAATACCCGGGAAATGAGCTGCTGTGCAAATGATTAACAGCGATCTGAATGAAGTCACTTTCTTACTCTGCCTTTGGACACTACGTCTGCATAGGCAGTGTGGAGGAAATCGTGCAGCTGCTTGGCATTTCCCGAGTGCCCGAGGATGCCTGTGAGCTGCTCCAGGGACAGGGTGGCCAGCTCTGCGATGTTCTTCACTTGATTCATCAGGGAGCGACAGTTCTTTGCGTTGACCCCAGGCATCTTTAGTATGAAGTCTTGGGGGCCAGGGTTATACTTGTCTGACTCAGGCAGTGTTTCTGAGTCTGCGGTGATGGCCAGGGCGGTGGCTGCATCAGGCTGTGGCTTGTTCTGCTTCAGCTCCTCGAACAGCTCGGCTGTGGCATGGGGTGAGGGGCACCAGAGCAGTCGCAGGCGTGGGAAATGCAGGGTGAGGAGCGTGAGCTTGGAGCTCACATCACTGCTGCTCATCTCCTGGAAGAAGACACCTCGTGGTGCCAGAGAGAAGGGCTTGGCCGGGTCAAACTCTATGAGCAGCACGGGCCGCCGGTAGTAGCGTGACATGGCAAGGCACTGGCTATAGAGGCGGCCACTGTTCAGCGAGCCAATGAGGTCACTCACACTTTTGCGTTCCACGCACAGCTCAGGCGTCAGGATGTAATCACCCACCTCTAGAGTCACTGGCTCGATGTCAATGCCCCGCCGATGGAGCAGAGATGGGAGCTCGCTTCGAAACTCACGCATGTCTACCACGATGCTGGGCTGTATGCTGTTCTGCTCCTGGCCACCTATGAAAAGGGACATTTAGGTCATGAAACAGGGAAGAGTGCTCAGAGATGAACTCTGAGAGGCTTAAATCTGTTTCTGTTGTTAAATTTGGATTAATAGCTATAACATTTCCTATCAGACCAAAAAAATAGCATTTAGAGAGAAAGCAGAGGTAGTTTTCCCCAAAGTAAATGGAACTAATGGGAGAACTAGCCTGGGCTGGTAGTTCATGACTTACAATGGTACACAAACACCTGCCCTTGTTCCTCTCTGGGACACTGACCACATTGTGCTGGTCCTTGTATCTCCAGGTCCTACAGACATTCCTAAGAAGACTGCCCTCTGAGCTGCTGTCCCTACCTTTGGGTCTGGAGATGGGAAGGAAAGAGGTGGGCTTCTTATACTCTGCTGTGAGTACATGGGGTCATGCTAGCAAGCAGATTCTGAACTCAGCAGGTACATTTTCAACAAACCCTATGGTGACAATGTTGCTGCTTTAAGTGTGTGTTACATGTTCGTGAACGTGTGTGTGTAGCTATGTTGAGCCCACGTGCGGAGGCCAGAGGAACGTGGTCCATTCTGTCATTTTCCTTTGATAAGGACTGTCACTGAGCCTGGAGCTAGGCTAGCAGCTGGGATCCTGGTGATCCTCCTACATCACAGCAGTGGTGATACAAGCACATGTGGCTTTTAACATCAGGCTGGGGATTTGAACTCAGGTCTTCATCCTTGTACAGTACTTTATCCACTGATATGTCTACCCACTGATTCATGTCCTCAGCCCCAAGAGCACTGTTGACTGTGAAAGGCTTTCATAGGCAAAATTATGCCACTCCAAATGCCTGTACCCAATTACTGCTCGATAGGGTTTCCTAGCATGGCAGAAGTGGATTTGTGAGCAGGACTCAGGCAGGCTCTCTGAGGCTGGGTCACCCTGGGCCACCTGATGTTATGACTTGGATATGAAATGTCCCTGAGGCTCACTGCGCAATCAAGGCTTGCTCCTGCGGTCGTGCTCAGAGGACTCTAACCTCAATGAGGATTAAGAGCATGGATGACGTCACAGCTGAATAGACTGCCGGAAGATAGGGTCGTCAGAGGCCGACCACTGGGGCATACCCTTGGAGTGTGTCTTGTACTTACTGTTTGATTTCTCTGTTTGCTGCCAGAGATGAACAGCTTTCAGTCCCACACCCTTCCACCATATATTCTGACTCATTGCAGGCCTGGGAACTATGAAGCTGGCTATGTGTAGACTGAAACCTCTGAGGTAGGAGCCCAATTACTCCCTCCTTTACACTGTTTCATCAGGTATTCGTCATAGCAACAGAGACCTGACTAAGAGACTGGGTAAACCCAGAGCCCTTAGGAGGAAAGGGAGGCAGCAGGGTCAGAGAAGACATCAGTATGGCTTTGAAGGCAGAGGAAAGAGCCATCAGCCAAGAATGCAGGTAGTCTTTAAGGTATTGGAAACACAAGGAGATGGCTCTTCTGTAGAGCTGCTAGGAGGAAAACAACCCTGTTAGCTGGATGGCATCTGACTAGAACTCTGCCCACTCTGAAGACCTGAGAAGAGGGCACCAAGTTTATGTAGTGCTTGCAGTAGCAACAGGAACTCAGACAGAGGCTTCCCAAGGGCAGGCCTCTAGGAGGAGCTTTGTGCATTCGAACTATGTCTTGACCCTCCCTCCTTCACCCAAAAGGTCCCCAAGCTAGGCAGAGTCAAGAACCTTCAAAAGGGGCAAGGATGTTCTGAAACCTGCTGTCCAGGTACATAGCCTGGGGCCCGTTTCCACCAGGTGCCTGGGAGATGCCAGCCCAAGTTTTCACCCACAGAAGCAGAATTTCTGTTTGAAGCCAACAAGCCCACGCTTTAACAAGTATCTCAGGCCACATGTCACAGAACGTGTGGAGGTCAGAGGACAATTCTTAGTTGTGGCTTCTCTCCTGCTACCTAGTGGGAGGGGACACGGGACTCAGATTGTCAGGTCTTCATGCAAGTGACTATAACTTCTGAGCCATTTCTCTAGCCCCTGACAAATATCCGATAAAACAATATCAGGGAGGAAAGATTTACTTTGGCTCAGGGTTTCAGTGCACGGGCTCTGTTGTTTCTGAGCTCGTGGCAGCCAGTGCCACAGGGACGGCAGGACATGAAAGCCTCACCTTAGGTCCACTGACAGCCCAGGGCTCTCACCAGACGTTACAGAAGCTTTAACCCTATTGTTTCTCTCATGCTGCTTGGCCAATGGCAGCTGCCATAGGCATGGAAGTCCTGGTGAATAAGTTTGCATTTGGAATCCAGCAGGCCTTGGTGGCATGCCAAACAACTGGGATTGGAGAGATATCAAGAAGCAGAACATACTTCAGAGCAGTGAGGACTCATATGACCCCCAAGGAAATCCCAGCAATCTGTGAACCAGGTATAGGAACTAAGGGAAAGCTTTCTTCAGCTATTGTGTGAGCCAACTGGCTTCCCTGGGTGACTCTATCTCAAGGCTTCACTGGTAGAGTTCATCTAGAATCTCCCCAAATCATTTCCTTTTCTTCAAAAAAATTATTATTTTTTTATTTATGTGTATGTGTATGCCTGTGTGTTTATATGTTGCCCATGAGTGCATGTCCCTGAAGAAGCCACAAGATGGCAATAACGTACAGGCAGTTGTGAGTTGCCTGCTACAGGTGCTGGGGACTGAACTCAAGAAGCTCTTGAATAGACAAGCATTTTTCCCCAGCAAGTACCTTCCCCAGCTTGGTATGTGCTCTTAAGAGTTTATCTTAGAAGCTCAGCTATGTGGCTCTGGGGCTTCACAGTCTCCTGTGAAGGCAAAAGTGGTGGTGAGCTCAGGGAAGGACTCACCTGCTTTCCGAGTGTCAGTGGGAGCATCTGGGGACACCATGCCTCTTGCTAAGTCCAGGTTGGTTTCATCTCTGCCTTCCCGTTCTTCGGGGACAACCATGCTAGCTTTCTCCCTGGAGGAACAAATACCACAGGCATCACTTGAGTAATCTCAACACTCTATAAATTAATCTTTTTGAGAAGTCTAATCTAGAAGATGATCTACATGCTGGCAGTATGGGTGCACTCAGGAGGCTGAGGCAGGAGGATTGTCTATGACACATGACTGGACTAGTAAAAGTGAATGCAAGGAATATGTTAGAAATAAATAAGCAAGCGGGAAAAATTGGAGCAGGAAGAATTGCTCAGATGTGCCTTCCTTTCTCATCCTCAGAGTTCAAATAAGAAGCTCTTTTAGTTTCTATTATGTGACTGAGATTGCCTGAACCTGCTGTAAGGTGAAGGCATTGTCAACATCGAAAAACAAGTTAAATCATTTAAAGTCAGATTTTTTTTTTAGCGTAAGTAAGGAGGGTTCAGTCAATGAAAACTCAGACATGATGGAACTGATTGAAAACCCTGCAGATGGGAGCCTCATCAAATGCCTTTAGTTTCAAAGGAGAATCATGGTCACTACAGGAATAAAATTTATCAGGGATTACAGAATGTTGCTCATCTGGGGAAGGAACTGGGAACAGCAGCCACTTTTTGTGCATTTGCTTGAAAGCATTATGGAGTATCCCTGTTCTGGGCTGGTAAGATGGCTAAGTGGGTAAAGGTGCTTGCCACAAGCCTGACTACCCAAGTTCAAACTCCAGAACCCATGTGGTGGAAGAAGAACTGACTCCTGCAGGCTGTCCTCTGACCTCCATATAGTGCACACGTATACATGCATGAATAGAGACACAGACACACACAAAATAAGTAAACAAATGTAACAAAAACATGATCACACAATCCTTCTAGTCTTCGGAGTAACCCAGTATCTCATCCATGTGGGTTAGGAGGACTAACCCACCTGCAAGAGTTGTCAGACATCATTACACCAGGTAAGTCCCTGAATCACCATGGTGAGCTGGGGGTCCTACACCTTTACAACCTCTAAGCATGTGATGATTAATTCATGAGACTGTCAGTGCTCAGTATTCAGTCCGTGCCGTGTGTGACAGAGCATGTGCACCCAGACCTCTTTTCTCTGGAGGCTGCAGTAGGGCTGAGAAAGCAAAGCAACCATGAGCAAACCCACAGAACTGAGAACTTCAGCAGACACTAGGTAAGACAGAGGAGCTGCCAAAAGGCATGTGTCTACCAGGGTCAGAACAACACACATTCCTGGAGAGGAAACAGAGCAGGACTATGGAGAGCAGGATACATGTGGGCTACGTGCCGAGGAGCCTCAGCGAAAACTACCGACATCAAGGCTGCATGAGTGCTGTCTCTGTTGCCATGTCTGCATATGCTGTGGCACATGATTCCAGATGACATTATTCCTACTTGTTCCCTCAGCTGATTCTTATCTGCGTCCTTTTGCTGTGACAAACCAACTATTAGAGCTTCTAAGCAGACCACTGACTGGAGGGTGACTTTGGGGACCCTGACACAAGAAAACCAATGATCTAATAAGGATCCTTTATCTCTAGGTGTTCATTTGTAATTTGGTAACAATAACTTTGATCAGAGAAGAGTTAGATAAAGAATATTTTTAAGACAATAAAAGAACTTTAGGGAGGTGCTGGCTCACACCCAATGGCACCTCGTCTCTTACTCATTTTGTAAATATTTCTCACAGCTGTCCCTTTCTCTTCATTAGCCTTCTCTCAGCAGACAACTGCATCTGCATTTTCTTCCATAGACTCTTTACAAATGTAAGAGCCTCAGGCCACCTGGGATATGCAGTGCTGTCAGAGTCCTAGAGCTCTGGGCTCTCTTCCATACCTGTGCTCAGCATGAGCCCTTTCTCATGGAATTTGCATATACTAGATGGTCAATAAGCAGCTTTGCTGCTGGAGACTCAGTAGGTGAAGGTCCAGAGGTCAGGAAGGTCTGTGAATATGTGGTAGTCTGTTTAATAACTGTCTTGTTATAACACCACTTCTGAAATAGCCTTTCAACATACATATACACCCCTCCCAATACACACACACACACACACACACACACACACAAATTCCATAGGGCAGTTCCATAGGCTAAGAGGACTGAGTAACAAACCTGTATAGCAAGCAGCTTCAAGGAAACACCACTGTTCTACAAGATGTAAAGGGAAGGATGCCATCCCAGTGGAAATGTCTGTGTTAGACTAACCTGGGCATACAGATGCTGAGCGCCCACAGCCAGCCTTGCAGGATGCTGCCCACTCTCAGAGCCTGTTAGCTCCATGCCAGGCTTACTGTCACTGTATGCTGCCAATGTCATACTGCCATCACAAGCACAAGAAGCCTGTGATGAAGATGTACGCCACTGTTTGCTCTGGCCTAGGCTCTCTAGCTTGGCTCTCTGATGTCTAAGCCTGGCTTTACAGTTCCCGGATCAGCCCACTGCAATCTATTGGTATGGCTCCTGAAGGTCATCTGATGCTTAGGGGAGTAACAGGTAGCCAGCCAGTTTGTGACTGTTCCATAAACAGCACCTTCTGTTAAGCTGAAAAGCATTTTCTACCAGGATCGGTAACATGACATGCATACTAGATACATGTGTTCAGAAAAACAGCACACCCTTAGTGTGATTCTAGTCACAGTGGTCAGAACTGGAGGCGGGGCATAAACGTGCTTCCCAGCTCAGGATGGAGCAGCAGCCCACCTTCAAACACAGATTTTATACGAAGGGAAAACGCACAATTCAAAGAGAAGGACCTTGGGCAGAGGGTGCAGGGCTAATACTGTGTCTTGTGACTTGTCTGATGATGCACACAGCAGACAAAAGGTGGTTTCCCTTATACATTGCTGATATGAAAAATCTGAAATTCAAAATGCTATGAGATGGAAAGTGGCCAACACAGCAGCACAGGAGGACATCTCATGTCCAGTTCTGTGCTGGTGGCATCTACAGAAGTGCCCGACTGTGGCCTCCATCCTGTGCCTTCACGCCACAGGTCTCAAAGCCACATGAACTTCATGTTCAGGATTAGATCCTGTAACTAACACATCTGTAACTAACACATATATGAAATTACACTGAATTTGCTATAGTTATAGTTACAAGGATTTCAGATAAGAGATACAACTCAGATTCTACTCATTAAATCCACCCTCAGCAACTGCGCGAGTAAGAGAGTGGGAAGGAAAAAAGGGAGTGTGTGAGAGGCAGGCCCTGGGCACCAGCCATGCCCAGTTCATGACCCTACCCTCTTCTTCCCCAGCTGAGCGTCCTCTCAGGAGGCCAGGTTACCATGGGCCACCCACCTCACCTTATAAGCTTTTCAAAAGCTTCCTTTTCTTTCCGCAGGGCAGTCAGGTAGCGCTGCTCTTCCGTGGAGCCTCCATATATGAGAAAGTACACCCTATGGGTTAAGACAGAGTTCCTTTAGGTTGCAAAAATGTACTCTCAACCCCTGGGAGTAGAAGCACCATGGAGCGTCTACAGTAGTAGCCCTGGATGCTCAAGAAGAGCTGGGCTTGTGCTCAGCACACAAGGCGCCAGCCACCTTGTGACGAAGGCCCCAGCATCACCCGCTTAAGGTCGTCAGGTTGTTACCCAGTGAAAGTTCTTTTTCTCTTCAGCAAAAGCAGAAACAGTTCCTGAGATATGACTAGAGGATAAGAATTCTTTCTTTATAACAAATAAAAAACAAAGCCAACAAAATCTCTTAGATGCTTCTTTTTTCAAATTTTTTTCTTTATACTTCTGCCAAATGATAGCTTAGAAGTTGGAACTCATCATTAGAACTAGCTTAGGAAAATTCAATGTTAGTGACAAGCAAACAAATTAAACATCTAAGACCTTTATCCTTTGTACTTTCTCAGTTCTTTTTTATCCATGTCATAGTAGAACGGAGCCAGGAATGTCTTCCAGACACACATGGGTAGTATCAGGAATCTCATTAAAAAAAATTATCCACACACACACAGTCTCTAAAGAGCTTTGCTTTGGGGCTAGAGAGATGGCTTGCTGGTTAAGAGTGCCTACTGCTCTCCAGAGGAACAGATTTCCACTCCAAGCAGCCATGTGTGTGGCTCATAGCTGCCTGTAACTCTAGCTTTTAACCCTCCTCTGGCATCTTTGGCAAATGGAACACACACACACACACTCACCATTAAAAACAAATGTCTAAAGAAAACCCCACAGAACTTCCTTTTTCTCTCCTCTGTGGCTGAGGCTGAGTAAGTGCCTGTACCAATGCCACCTCACTCCCTATTCTTTTTGAGCATGCTTTTCTTTTAGCACAAATCTTCCCAGACTATGCTACTCTAAAGTGTAGAGAGAAGGGCTCTGGGTGAGTTAGGAGATTTCAGCTACCCGATGGATGTGGCTAAAGCCAATCAATTTCCATTTCTTGGCTTGAGTTTTCCATTGACAGAGTGAGCTGTTGAATTCCCAGGACTCTTCTACCCTTGACATTTTGATTTCAAACAGGACAGTGTCCTGTTCTTGGGTAAGAAGCTTGGTGCACGTAAGCTACCGGGGAGCCGATGCCTGCAGGCTCAGTAGCTGACCAGTGGACAATGCTCTCCCCAGGTCTTTACCCCTGGGCCCCTGCTGACCTGCCTCTACGGCAACCGCTCCGAAAGGCTGCCTTGGTTACCTTGCTACAAAGGCTTCTCTTGGCTCTGTTTCTGGTTTGGACTGAGTTCAGGATATTAATTTTTATGTTTATTTCCCTTTAGCTGCTGGAGAGTGAGAACACTGTGTTCTCTGGGAGGGAGGAGTAACTTCCTCATCTGATAGAGCTGTTCGTGGACTTAAAAAAAAGATTTATTTATTATTTACACAGCACACCAGCAGAGGGCACCAGATCTCACTATAGGTGGTTGTGAGCCACCGTGTGGTTGCTGGGAACAGAACTCAGGACCTTTGGAAGAAGAGCCAGTGGTCGTAACCTCTGAGCCATCTTTCCAGCCCAGATCAATAGATTTTGAAGATCTTTCTAGAAACCCAAGAAAACCTGGTACAATAATTCTTAAAACATGTTAGTTTTACGAGATCATTCATAATTTCATAATTTAGTCAGTTCTTAAATGTGTAAGCTGTGAGACTGAAGTGTGGTTCAACAGGTAGAGGTGCTTTCTGTCTAATCAGTGCAGCCCCTGGACCCCACAAAAAGGTGGAAGGCATCAACCAACTCCCGTGAGCTTCATGGTATGCATACATCCACAAATGTAATGAAAAATCTTTCAGATTTTACAGGGTGTTTTAGAAGATTAATATAACACTTGGCTAAGTCATTAGTATATTACCTTTAATAATACACAGAACATTATAAATTTTCTAGACTTTCCGGATACTGTACCTGTAAGAGACACACTCAGACATAAAGAAAGAATATGAGCAGGGGCAGGGAAAACGCCAGGGGTGCTGGAGGCTTGCAGTTTAGCCAGGATGGCTGACATCCATATGGAGTGCTTTCTCCCATTCACCAGAAAGCAGCGTCAAACTAGCCTCACCATGGGTTAAACGTAAGAAAACCACCATGCAGGCCAGACAGTTGTTGTACTAAAGCCCGCAGAACTGTCAGGCACAGACTTGCCTCAGCGGTTTCCCAGGCCTGCTGGCCCTGTAGATCTCCAGCTGCCGGACAAAGGTGAGCTCTGCGTCATACAGAACGACATATCTGGGTTCCACCTCATGCAGTACCCGCGTCAGGGCATAGGGGTCGCTGCACCCCAGAAGCGGATGGATGATGGTCAGGGGCTCTTTGAGGATGCCATAGGCTGCATCAGATGACAAATTTAAATCAAATGATTCCTGCTGTATCTCTCCCCCGCAGCCTCCTGGGCTACTGCCAGCTTGTCTGTGCCAGCCTTCCTCGGCAGCCTCTTCCTCTGGCGGCTCCTCAGCAGTCCTCATCACTTGCGTTAGAGTCAGCTCTCGCTTCTTCCTTTTGAAAGGCCCCTTTTTGGTAGAAGCACGCTCTTTGTTTTGGACGTCTTTGGGTCTTTTGTCAGATCTCACAGTTCTCTTTGGGCTGTCCCCCTTTCTAAAATTCAGCCACACTTCTTCGGCTTTGCTGTCCTTCTCAAAGGTTTTCCTGTAGAGCCGCAGCAGGAAGGCTTCTGCCCCTGCCGTCAGGTAGTCTCTCAGCTGGCAGCATGTGCGGTCATCACTTGCACAGATGAGCACCTGGCCTGCAATCAGAGAGAACACATGCTTGCTCGCTCACTCCCCTCCATGGCTCCTTTGGGCCACCTTGGGTCCCCTGTCACCTTCTTCTATGGGAAGGCATCATCTTACCCTCATTAAAGAACCCAATTTGCAAATTGTTTAAAAAGGGCCTTTGGTAGCAATCACACCCTCTCTCTGCTTTCTGAAGCCAGGACTAAAAGTCTACTGAAAGCAGGGCCAAGGTATAAAGGTGGATTTAATGAAGCTTCAAATGAATAACTTTCTAGAGACTCCTAGACACCAAAATACATTCCAAATGGATTATGGGGTCAAGTGCCAAATCTTAAATCATTAAGAAAGGATGGCTTGTTTTCACTCCCCCAAGATGGAGGTGATTTTCTAGTCTTAAAAGCAGAAGAGTAATTCTCAAAGAAGATTGCATCTAATGGTTGATTTTAGAACAATAAGAACAGCATTAAAAACTCTGAAGAGAGAGATCAACTGTGATAAATGTCACTGTTGTTACTAATAAAGGGCAAAGAAACTGTGGTGTAGTCTAAGTCGGCTGGGAAAATAAGACAATATGTACTAAAGATACAGCTGAGAGCAAGGAGGTTACTAAAATAAAAATATAGGATGTCTTCTCAAATTAATAGTTGATATATATATATATAAAAACTTTATATATATATGGGCATATATAACTTTATATATATATGGGCAAAACATGTACACAGAGAACTGCCAGTTACAGTTAGCTAAGTAAATGAAAATGAACATTATAACAACCAATGTCTTACATGCCTCTAATCCCAGCATTTAGGAGGCAGAGGCAGAAGGACTGCTCCAAGTTCAAGGCCAGTCTGGTTTACAAAGTTTCTAGTTAGCTGCTTGAGAACTGTGCAGTCAAGTTATTAAAAAAAGTCACAGAACACCCATTTTTAAATTAAGAGTTCAATTACATTTATTTTATTTATTGTGTGTGCACAGGTCAGAGTACCCTGTTCTCTTCTTCCCCCATGTGGTTTCCAGGGAACGAGCTCAGATTGTCTGGTGTGGCAGCTAAGGCTGTTAGCTCCTGAGCCATCTCACCAGCCCCTTATAATGCTTTCCAAATAAGCTTTTGTGTTGGATCATATGCATCGCTCTCCTTGACTGCAGGCAAGGGATGGGCAGAGCCAAATAACTTTAATAATGTGAAATAGAAAACATGTGAGAGAAATCTAGAAGGAACCCACTAATGTCAACAACAACATCATTGGGTGGAGGAAAATCTTTGTTCTCCCGCTCCTCTTTTATTATTCTTTTCACTGTATCTAAATGAGCATCTGTGATGTTGGGTCTTAGATCAAAACACTGTAAGCTCTGGGTAATTATCAGGACCTAAAATAAGGATTGAATGTCTTTAAAAAGGGGCTATTATTTCTTTATCTGTGCATGTACCTGACCGCGAGCATGAACATGCCTGTGGAAGCCGGAAGAGCACACTAGAGCTACATGGAGCTGGAGTTACACGTGGTCTTGAGCTGTCTTAACATGGGACTGAACAGTCCTCCTCTGCTGAGCCATCTCTCCAGCCCCTTGGGTGACTTAAAAAAAACTAACCTCTTAGGTTCTGCACAAAGTAATTGGTTTCACTCTGGTATTTACATAGCGTCATTATGCTTTGTTCTCATTTTCCCTGGCACCCTCCACATCACCCTGCTTGCTTTTATTACTTTGCAGTTCAAAGATTCAGTGAGTATTTTTTTTTAAAAAATGTAGATTTACTCTTTATCTAGTCTTATTTTTAACTTACAATTCTGGCTTAGTCTCCTGTGCGCATCTGTTAGCATGTTCCTGTTTGAAGGTAGACGGCCTACAACTGCAATTGTTTTTCTAGGGTTCAATCAATAGAGGTGGTCAAGCTTCTTTGGAAAGACACTTGGCTGGGCACATAAAACAGAAAAAACATTAGCTGATTCCTTGGAAAGTCTGGATTTAAAACCTTGTGAATATATACATGGAAATTTGCTGAATCTTTAAATAGAGGCCCTGAGAAGCCAAGCAGTCAAGAATGTGCTTTGTGAATACATAATGACTCAACCTGGAGAAAAGTGCAACAAATAAACAAACTGAAGCAGCCCTGGCTCCAGGCGATTGGCATCTACTGTCTGTGTGCTGAGTGGGGTTTGGTGGCACCTGACTGGAATCCAGTACGAGGAAGCAGAAGTTAGGAGACTCAGAATCTCAAGCCAGCCTCAGATGCAGAACAAAGGCAATCTGGCCAACGAGATCCTGTCTCAGAAACAAAAACAACCACCAGGTTAATGTTACCTTCTCCCTCTTTGTTCCTACCTGGGCCACCAAGGGCTTCACTCTCCTTATTTTCTGCTTCGATTTCTTTCAAGACTTCAGATAGCGCCTCCCACTTTGGGTTGCTTTCTAGGACCAGTTCCTTTTTGGTTTCTGTATAGAAATAAAATATAACCTCATTCTGTATGATGTTTAGCTAAAACCATGCCAAAGGCTTTCCCACAGAGAAAACTAGTGTCACTGCAAATGGACACGCCCTCGGCCTTCCACCATGCTACACGGGGGCTGCTTCCCTAGAAAAGCCTGCTGACAATGCTAGCTAGAAACGTGTAGAGGTGGCGGGATGGACTGGCCACGAGCACAGTCAATAGAGATGACTCTGTGCTGTCACTGGTGATGCTGTTGTACATAAGCAGCTACACAAAGCAAGGAGGAGGTCCCATCAATATTCACTATTATTGTTATTATGATTTTTGGCTTGTCGAGACAGGGTTTCTCTGTGTAGCCTTGGCTGTCCTAGAACTCAGTCGGTAGGTCAGGTTGGCCTTGAACTCAGAGATCTACCTGTCCCTAACTCCTGAGCACTAGGATTAAAGGCATGCACCACCACTGTTGGGCAAATTTATTATTTCCAATAGACCCATGCTTTCTACAATCCTCAACATGGATAAAAGCAGAAAACAACTATTTTTTAAAATTCTATAGTATTCAAACAGATTATGAACACACCATTTTGAATAGAACTTTAAATTAGGCAGAAACAAGTATATAACTATCCCATCCCAGACTTAGAAAAAGTGGTACTTGATGCTTATTAGATAGTTTCCTCCATATATTATATTTATAGTCTTTACAAGTTGTAAAGACTGCTGAAATGTCTCACTAGGACTCTAAGTGGCCAAGATAGTAATAGCTGAGGTGTTTGTTATGGTGCAGGAAGAACACTTCTGACTGATGTCTGGCCTTCAGCACTGCTGTCCTCCGGCAATGGATCTCATCTGGTTTTAGTGCATACTTTGCCCACAGACTGTACGCATCTATGGGCAACAGGGTTTTAGATTTGTTTAAGCGGACGCCTGCTTCCACGCCAATGTGAATAAAGATGTGGTGAGGGCCTTACCTTGTCCTTCTGCACTCTTCACCTTTTCAGACGTTTTGGCCTTTTTGCTCAGTTTGGCATCTGGAACATGATACACTCTTGCACGAGCATTCACGAACATGGATGTGCTAGCATCCAGGAAAAGCCAACCTAATGGTTTTGAAAAAAGGGCTTGAATTAGTGGCAATTTTAAATACTCTAATGGTTACATGACCCACATAGACCACTGGCTGCCAACTTGCTTTCACAGCAACTGTGCCTTAGTTTCTCTTAATGTTGTGGAGTCTGCTTGGCTAGACAAGTGGTTTCCAATGTTCCAGGGCCTCCTTCAGGACTCCCCAAGAGGTTTTCATGGGAATGAGATAGCAACACTTTCCTTAGAGCAATTCTAAGATATGGTGACATTTCCAAGGTGTAGTGAGGAACTCCACAGGTAACCACACAAATCAGGGCAGGTCCCAAGTACTCCCAACTAAGAAATCCTTCTTCCATGCACTTTGTAGTTCATTACTTCTGTACATGATGTACATTTGTACATGATGCTGGGGACTGTATTCAGGGCCTTACATGTGCTAAGTATGTGCTCTATCACAGTGCTATCTCCCTAGGTCTGTACTTTGTTACTTGAGTATGTCCTGAAAAGCAGTAAACATTAGTTGCATATATGTTGACCCTAGGTCTTGGGTATTTAGTATAATAATCATTGTACATATATATATTTCTAAACAAATCTGTTAAGTCTTTGATACTCTTGTGGATGAAACCCATCCCTTGGGGGATTTGAATAAAATTAACTTTAAGTCCCTATCAACTAAACTCCAAGAACACAACCTATTTCCAAGTTGGAGACTGTCTATATTACAAAGTCTTCTCTGGAAATAAAACTGCCAGGAATTGATATGAATATTTATTATACAGAACAGAAGTTAAGTAGGTGGGAACATTAGCTATCAATAAAGCACTACATCCTTGTTCAGTGAACACGAAATTCAATTTATAACATGCAGCTGAATATAGCACTCTCTCCATTAACACTTCATTCAAACTAGCTCCCAGAATAATATTAGCATTTTTATCTCACACCTGAATTCTGACCGAACGCCTTCTCTGTTGCTCTCAGAGATTCCAGAAGATTAAGAAATGTAACACAATCATACTGAGAGAGGTACTGCAGTAGAGTTCTTAGTATCTTCAAATCCTGCACCAAGGATTTAGTCTTGGCTCCAAGCTGGTGCCACAAAGGGTCCAAGTAATGGCGGATTGTCTGAAAGAGAATACAATTTACTATTGCTAAAATATGTTTAGTACAGCTTTTCTTAACAAAGCCATACTTTCAATAAGGGTTATTCACTAGATATGTAAAAACATTAAAATGCTGAATGTCTTATTATTCACATTTTACTACAATAATGTTTCCTAAATATTTCTTTCCAAGGAAGATGGCTAGGAAGTTTCAGGTCACCAAATCCTAATAATGTTTAAATTTTTCAAGCATAATGTCTTATTACTACAATTTTAACAACCAGATAGAGCTAATCTCCTTTACTAACATTACTGTCACGGGGCTGGGGAGATGGCTCAGTGGGTAAGAGTATCCATTATGCAAGAAAGAGGACCAGAGTTCACATCCCTGGTGCCCACATAAAAAGATGAGCATGTGTTTGTAACCCTGCAGCTATCGGAGTCAAAGAAGGAAGACCTCTGGGCTGTCAGCTTAAGCTCTGGATTCAGTAAAAGACCCTTTTCTCAAGCAAGTGAGGCAAAGAAGTGTCAGATAACTTCGTGTCTCCTCTGACCTCTGTACGTTCAGGAGCATGTGCAACACACAACACACACATACACACATGCATGCATGCACATAGTAAATACACACACAAATATATGCCATAGACAGACATGGCCTGCTATGCATCAGAACCAGTAACTTGTTCTTGTGAACAAAAACAGCAGCATCATGGGGCATCTCATCCAACACACTGAGCAGAAGTTGCATCTGGCTGATCTTATAATTCATGCTCCAGACTGGGATACTGTAAACAAGAAACTACATGCTACAGGGTAACAGGAGGGCCAAAGCACTTCTACAACAGCAGACCACCTTCGCTGAAAGATGTATAGAACCTCAAGTTTTTGTTTTCTCTGATACAAGCTCTATCTATACTTAGATGCGGTCGATGTAATAATATCTAAAACAATACTTGACTCTCAGCAGTCAGTGACATCAGACAGAAATCAGTGTTAGTAAAGCACTCTGCTTTTCGGGACAGGGTTGTTAACACCACACATTAAGCTATACACACTTTAAGATGAAGAAAGGGAGGACAGGACACACGGGATCCATTCTGCACCTGAGCATTTCACAGTAGACTGACCTCTTCCATACACTCCCCATGCACTGTTCCTAGTGACACAGAGACTGATTTAGAGTTTAAAAGACAGTAGCATGTTCTAAAACATGGAATTTTTTAAGGCAGCATTTTTACCACAGGACTGAACACTTATATACTTAATATTATGCTATGGTGGAAAAAAAAATCAAGAAAAAAGTCCTTGAAGATTTAGCATTTCCTCAGTCCAGAACATTTGAGATAGAACATAGGTCTCAGTAATGAAAATTGCCTTTAATCCCAGCACTTGGGAGGCGGAGGCGGAGGCAGGGGGATCTCTGAGTTCTGGACCAGCCTAATCTACAGAGTGAGTTCTAGGCCAGCCAAGGATACACAGTGAGACCCAGTCTCAAAACAAACCCCCAACCCCAAAAACAACAAAAAATGCATCCAATTTTCTATTTTAAAAAGATGGTAAATTCCAGGATGTACACTTCATTTTTGTGTCTGCAGATACTCAGATTCTGTGAGTTTGGAACAAAGACATCGATTATACTTACAGCAAGACATTCACTCACTGTGTAACTGTAACTGAAAAGCCAGCCTTCTACTTACATGTCAAACACAGATGTCATCACAAATTATTATTTCTCAGGAGGCAAAGCAGCCCCACTTTAAATCACCTGCAGTTTAATGCCTACAAGGACATAGGGAAAATTGAAATGCCTTGCATTCTGTAAAATGACAATCTAACCAGCCATGTGTCAAAAGAAAGCAAAGAAGTGGACCTTGTCAAATGGCTTCCCAAGAGCATTTTCTAATGACAAATCTTCCACTTCTAGTGATGGGTTGTGGCATTTCAGTTCCTTTAGACAGGCATTTAGGATGTCTAGTATGGCCGTCTGGATGGCAAGCATGGCAGGAGTCATGGACACATGAATCTCTACGACTTCAGGCTTGTGTTGTTCTAAGAACGAGTTGACTGCTACATGGAACCTAAGGAGACAGAGTTTCCAAATCATTTCTAACTTCAACATCTACAAACAAAACATAAGCAAAATATCAATGGGCCTCATCCATTGTAGAAGCAATACACAAGCAAGGTGGGCTCAGCAAACTGTCAGCCTAACCTGGGGTCTGCTCTTAGGGTGAGGAACACAGCCCTGCCACTGGGCTCCTACTATCTATGACTGCTTAGTGTTATTAAAAAACAATCAACCAAAAAAACCCTATTACACTTATTTTGTGTGTATGTGCCATAATGTATGTGTGGTGGACTTAGGATAATCATGTGGGTCCTGGGGTTAGAACCTGAATCATCAAGGTTGGTAGCTAGCACTTTTACCCAGTGAGCCATCTTGCCACCCTTACCCCTAATCTTTTTGAGAGATGTATTTATTCGTTTACTTATGGTATGTGTGTGTGTGTGTGTGCACTTAGAGCTCAGGGGATAACCCATAGTCAGTTCCCTCCTTCCATGTGGTTCCCAGGGATTGAAGTCAGGCAAGCACCTTTAACCCCGAGCAATCTTGTTGGCTCTGCTTTTGTGTCTCTAACTGTGCTTTCTATCTGGTCATTTACAGGTGGGTTTTATTTCTGAAATACGGAGCAATTACACAAAAGAATAATTGTACTAGTACTTGTCACAAAACTGAAACATACAAAAATGTACTTAAAGTTCTTATAGACAGGATGGCAAATTTCATACTGTATTCCATCAACTGCATTAAAATGCAACTAAGTTAAGGCTTTTCTGCTCACAAAACATGTCTCATGATAACATTACCTCGGCCACAGATAGAGCTTCCTCACAAAAAGGTTCCTCATCACTCTTTCCACATGACAAAAACCAGTGTCAAAGGCAACAGCGTTGTCTGTGAAAGCTTTGATGAAGCCACGCTTGTTTTTCTGGCGGAAGAGACGCAGGATGAAGGCTTCTTGGCAGGACTCAATGATCCTGTGTGCTCTGTACACAAGGATGCCTGTTGGGGGTTGTATAAGTCAGGGTTCTCTAGGTAAGAGAACTTATAAGATGAATCTCTCTACATAGAAAGAGAGGGGCTTAACCAGAGTGCAATGGTAACCTTAACCAAGACGGGGTCGTGTCTTAATTAGGGTCACTATTGCTGTGATGAAACACCACAACCAAAAGCAAGTTGGAGAGGAAAGGGTTTATTTTGCTTACATTTCCACATCACTGTTCGTCAATGAAGGAAGTCAGGGCAGCCACTCAAACAGGGAAGGAACCTGGAGGCAAGAGCTGATGCAGAGGAGTTCTGCTTACTGCCTTGCTCAACCTGCTTTTTTATAGAGCCACCAGCCCAGGGGTGGCCCCACCCACAATGGGGTGGGCCCTTCTTCATCAATCAATAATTAAGAAAATAACTTCTAGGCCTGCCTGCTCTTACTGAGACACTTCCTCGATTGAGGCTCTTCCTCCCCAGTGACTCCAGTTTGTGTCAAGTGGACGTAAAACTAGCCAACTCAGGTGCTGGTCCTGTTTTAGGCCCAGTGATGAGTATGCAAACGAAAGTGAAGTTGAGGGAGTGAGTCTCCTGAACCATTTGGAACATGACTATCTGGACCACAAGGGGTCCAGGCTGAGGGAGGATAAAGAGCACAGGGCTTGAAAGGCACACTATGTGGACAGATAGATTATATAAAACAGCTTCATTTTAGCAAGTCTCGTAGCATGTGTATCCCATTAGATGAAGGCAGCTTGAAGATACGGTCAATAAAGGGCTAAATTATACTATTTAAAACAAAAACCTTTAGTGAGCAAACTTAATACCTTTTGTTTTGTTTGTAGAGGCAGGCACTTGTTTTAACATAGCTTGGCCTTAATTAAATTCATGCTCCTCTTGCCTCAGCCTACTGAGGACTGGGATTACAGGAATGCACCACCATGCCTGGCAATACATGGCTTTTGTGACTGTATGTACAATGCCCATGAATCCTGAAAACAAGAACAAAGGCTGAAGAGATGGATAAAGCACTTGCCATGTAGGTGTGAAGACTAGAGCTTGGACCCCAGAACCTATAGAACAGCGAGGTGGGGGTGGGGCCACCTGTACCCAGCACTGGGGAGACAGAGGCATGAGAGCTCCTGAGCAGTTATTAGCTAAATGAGCCAGGACTGGTGGGCTCCAGCTTTAGAAATAAATAAATAAATAGATAGATAGATAAATAAATAAATAAATAGAGCAGAGAGAGTCTGAGGACATCTGAGGTCAACTTTTGGGTCTCCACACACGTGTACATGTACACACCTTCACACATTTGAACACACACACACACAAAAGATAATAATTATACATGTTTCCTAATTTTAAATATCAGATACTGAAGCAGGAGACTTTAATGCACTACCATTCTTATTTCACTTATTGTATGTGTGCATATGTGGGTGTGGATACGGCATGCCAAGGGTGGAGCTTAGTTGGTTCTCTGTATCATCATGTGGATTCTGTTGAGGGGACTCAGGTCAGGCTTAGAGGCATCTTGTGGCCCATTTTAATAGAACGTGTTTCGTGACACTGGGGAAGCAGGAGATCTGCGGAGGTCAGATGTCATTTCTGGGTCAAACTCATCATTCCATAAGGCTTCTCAGGCTTTTAGACCTCAAACAATCAATATACGTCAGGGTGCACATGTACACATCCACTCTTGGTTTTGGGCCTGGTCTCTTTACTCGTAGGGTCCTGAAAATAATATAGTGATCCATATGTCCTTTTGTCATTCAGCAACTAATTGCAGACTCCATTACTTTATTTTGAAATTCTGGACCATGGTGGCTGGCTAAAATTTATTCACTAATCAACTAGCTTATCAAGTATATAAAAATTCATTTATAAGTTTATGGACAAAGACCTTCCAATCATAACGCTATACATGAAATACTCACTCCTCAGAAAACATCTGAAAGCTAGAAGGTGGTTTTCCCAAGGACTCCATGCTCCACCCTTGCTTAGCTTGTGTTGAAACATTACATAGAGAGCTGGGAGGTAGTCCAAGAGATTTGATGTTCGAGCACAGGGACCTGAGTTCAAATCCTCAGCACCCACATAAGAAGCCAAGCATGGCCACCTTGTGCACATTGGTAACTCCAGAGTTGTAGGAGAGAGAGACAGGAGGATCACTGGGGCTTGCTGGCTGCCAGCCTGCCTCCAAGTTAAGTAAGACAGACCCTGTCCCAGGAGCTTAAGGCAGAGGGTGATAGAACAGGATACACAATATCTTCCTCTGGCCTACCTATGTGCACAGGTGTACCCCTCCCCCCCCACATACATATGCATAAGGCTGAGGCTGGGTCACCCTGGGCCACCTGACGTTATGACTTGGATATGAAATGTCCCTGAGGCTCATTGCACAATCAAGGCTTGCTCATGCGGTCATGCTTAGAGGACTCTTCATTTCATGTAGGTATTAAGATTAGAAAGGTGGGGTGGGCGGGGAAACCTGACAGAGGTCACCAGAAAGAGGGTGGACAGAGGTTTTAAACCACATGCTTCCTGCTGAGTAAAACTCCTTTGGGGTCCTTGTAAGACTACATTGTCAGTACAGGGTGTGTAGAGGGTGGTTTTAGTGGTATGCGAGCCCCTTGTGAGACAGGACAGCATGTGTCCCAGGATGAACTTGATTTTGGCAGTTTCAGTCAAGAACCCACCTGTAAGTTGAACTTGGAGAAGGTCGTTTCAGACCCTGCAGCCCTAGACTGGGTGACGGTGCAATACTGACATCTAGTGGTAATTTCTAGACAATGCTCTCCTGTTAACAACTTAAAATCCACTTGCACAACAGAGCAGCATACTAAGGCCTTTAGATGTACCAACAGCTTCAGCTACAAAGGGGGAACATTTGGTACTGTTTATTATGGCCTTACTGTGTTCAAGCAGCGCAAGTATACTATCATTCTAAGATACTGTTTTGTTTTTTGTTTTTTTTTATGGCCTGCTTGCATGTCTGTGTACCACATGCATTCAGTGTCCCTGCAGGACAGGAGAAGGCATCAGATCTACTGGAACTAGAGTAAAGGTGGTGTGAGCCATCATGTGGGTGCTGGGAGCCGAACTCACTCTCTGCAAGAGCATCCAGGGCTCTTAATGACTGAGCCATCACTCCAGCCCCTGAGGCACTATTTTTTTGAGTTAAGAAATGAGAAAAATGGACTAAAGCTAGACATCAACAACAGAAACAAGAAAAAGCTTACAAACTCATGGAAACTGCTCAATGAAAGATGCATCAAGACAGAAATAAAAAAAAAAATTAAAGACTTTCTAAAATTCAATGAAAATGAATACCCAATATATTTAGAACACAATGATTAAGAGGAAAGTCCATAGCACTGAGTGACGACATTAAGAAAAAAAAAAAAGAAGAGAGATCTTATACTAGCAACTTAACAGCACACCTGAAAGCTCTAGAACAAAAAGAAGCAAGCACAAGCAAGAAATTGTCAAATTGAGGGCTGAAATCAATAAAATAGAAACAAAGAGTTGAATCTTTGAGAAAATCAGCAAGCTTGACAAACCCTTATCCAAAACTAACTAAAAGAGAGAAATCCATATTAACAAGATTAGAAATGAAAAAAGGAACATTACAACAGACAGTGAAGAAATCCAGAGACTCATAAGGACATACTTTAAAAGCCTGTACTCCACCAAATTGGAAAATCTAAAAAAAAAAAAAAAAAAAAGGATAATTTTCTGGATAGGTACCACTTACCAAAGTGAAATCATGATCAGGCGAACGATATAAATAGACCCAAAACCTTAAGGAAATAGAAGCAGTCTATTTCCAGTGTGGGGCCAGATGGTTTTGTAATGCCAGGTTCACGGGACCCTCAGAGACCACCAGGAGACAACTCGATGCAATTGCAAGAGAGCTTTATTACAAGAGCGATCGAACTCGGGACCCAGGTCTCACTGACGCAGCAGTAGAGAAGTGGGACCCTGAGCTCTGAGTGAACAGGATTTTTAAAGGAAAAGTCTGTGAGCAGGGGGTTTCCATGGCAGCAAGCAGGGGGGCACAAGCCTTGGCCTTACAGAACTGGGTGAAGTTTAGCAGGGCAGGGTGACCTTCTCTGAGATACACAATCACAATGGCTAAGGCATATAATCACAATGGGTAAAGCATATAATCACAATGGCTATTTTTCTAAACTATATCTGAAACATTGGGGAAAATTTTCCCACCTGATTCTCAACTGGTTCCCATTGATTATTGCTAGGGAGATTGTTTCTATTTTCTATGAAGCATTTATTCTGTATTATTTCCCAGAGGCTGTTGCTAGGAGAGTTAACTTTGTTCTCTGCCAGGTGTACATTCTGTGATATTTCCTGGTACCTGAATTCAGCTCCCAGTCAAGATGGCTCTTTATTTCAAAATGGAATTATATTCAGGCTAACTATACCCAGGCTAACTTAAACTCTTCAGTTTTAGCCCAGAATTTGATCAGACTTTCAAAGAACTAATGCCAATATTACCCACAAAATAGAAACAGAAGGAACACTGCCCAATTCATTTAATGAGGCCACAGTTACCTTGATATCCAAACCACATAAAGATGCAATAAAGAGAATTACAGACCAATCTCCCTTATGAACATAGATGCAAAAAATACTCAATAAAATACATGTGAACTGTGTCCAAGAACACATAAGACCATTCAGCTTGATCCAGAAGACTTCATCCCAGAGATGCAGAAATGGTTCAACAATGAAAATCAGTCAATGTAATCTACCATATAACTAAACTAAACAAACAAACAAATACCCTTTCCCCCCCCAAAATAAACAAACCATGACCAACTCATTAGATGCTGAAAAAGCCTTTGACAAAATCCAACACTCCTTCATGGTAAAAGTATTGGAGAGATAAGGCATTCAAGGGACAAACCTAAACATAAATAAAGGATATTTACAGCAAGCCTATAGCCAACATCAAATTAGAGAGAAACTCAAAGTAATTCTACAACCAGGAACAAGACAAGGTTGTTCACTTCCTCCATACCTGTTCAATATAGTACTTGAAGTTCTAGCCAGAGCAATAAGACAACTGAAGAAGATAAAGGAATACATATTACAAAGGAAGAAGTCAAAGTATCATTATTTGCAGATGATAAAATAGTATACAAAAGTGAAGCTAAAAATTATACTAGGGAACTGCTACAGCTACACCTCAGTGAAGTGTCTGGACATAAGATTAACTAAAAAAAGAAAAAAAAATCAGTAGTCCTATATACAAATGACGAATGGGTTGAGAGAGAAATCAGGGAAACAACACTCTTCACAATAGCCACAAATAATATAAAGTACCTTGATGTAACTCTACCCAAGCAAGTAAAAGACTTGTATGCCAAGAACTTCAGTCTTTTCTGAAAAAAGAAACTGAAGAAGATATCCGAAGATAGAAAGATGTCCCATGCTCATGAATTGGTAGGATTAACATGTAAAAATGGACATCTTAGTAAAAGCAATTTACAGATTCAATGCAATTCCCATCAAAATACCAACATAATTCCTTACAGACCTTGAAAGAACAATTCTCAACTTCATATGGAAAAACAAAACACCTAGGATACCTAAAACAACCTGGAACAATAAAAGAACTGCTGAAGTATCACTATCCCTAATTTCAAGTTGAACTACAGAGCTATAGTAATAAAAACCAAATGGTGTTGGCATAAAAACAGACATGTTGATCAGTGGAATTGAACTAAAGACCAAGACATAAACCCACACATCTAAGGACAACGATTTTTGACAAAGAAGCCAGAAATACACAGTGGTGTTGCTTTTAACAAATCTCAATCATTTGATTTTAGCCAGTTGCTGGGGTGAAAGCCTCCTAGCTCAGAGAAAGCACCCAGCTGACATTTCTACTCAAACAACCTCTTTTAAACTGAATGTCCCTCCCTTCTATTTCCTGTGCACCTCTCTATCCATCCTGACTTCCTCTTCTTCTCTATGATATTTTCATTTCCAGTCAACTGGTTGCTTGCTCTGCCTTTTGACCTATGGTTGGCTTCATTTAATCCTGTTTACAAAATTCAAGCAGAAAGCTCTTGGCTTAAAGGATGGGCTGAGCCACACTACAACTAAAAACACATTTTTCCAGTAAATAACACAATCTCGAGGTACACAGTGAGATCAAATATCCTGAAACATTCAGAAAAAAGAGAGCATCTCAATGGTGCTGATCTAATTGGATGTCTGCATGTAGAAGAATGCAAATAGATCCATATTTATCAACTTGTACAAAACTCAAGTCCAAGTGGATAAAAGACCTCAATACAAAACCAAACACACTGAACCTGATAGAAGAGGAAGTGAGGAATGGCCTGGAACACCCTAGCACAGGGGACAACTTCCTGAACAGAACACCAATAGTGCAGGCACTAAGATCACAAATAATAAATGGGACCTCTTGAAACTGAAAAACTTCTGTAAGGTAAAAGACACCAACAATAAGATAAAAAGACAACCTATGGAATGGGAAAAGATTTTTACAAACTCCACATCTGATAAGAGGGCTAATATCCAAAATACATAAAGAACTCAAGAAACTAAATATTAAAAAATCCATAAAAAATAGGGTACAGATCTAAACTGAAAATTCTTAAAAGAGGAATCTCAAATGGTCAAAAAACACTTAAAGAAATGTTCAACATTTTTAGCCATTGGGGAAATGCAAATCAAAGCAAATTTGAGATTCCATCTTAAACCTGTCAGAATGACTAAGATAAAAAGCACAAATGAAAGCTCATGCTGGTGAAGATATGGAATAAGAGGAAAACTCCTTCATTGCTGGTGGGAGTGAAAACTTTTACAGCCATTATGGAAATCAGTATGGTGGTTCTTCAGGAAGTTGGGAATCAATCTACCTCAAGACCCAGCTATACCAACCCCTCTTGGGGATATACCCCAAGGGCACCTCCTCAACCATGTTCATTGTGGCTCTACTCATAACCAGAAACTGGAAACGCCCTAGATGTCCCTCAACTAAAAGATGGATAAAGAAAATGTAGTACATTTACACAATGGAGTATTACTCAGTGGTTTAAAAAAATAACATCATGAAATTTGTAGGCAAATGAATCCAACTAGAAAAAAATATCATCCTGAATGAGGTAACCCACACTCAGAAAGAGAAACATGGTATATATTCATTTACAATTGGATATTAGCTGTTCAGTAAAAAAATCCACAGACCCAGAGAGGTAAGGAAGAAGGCTACCGGGGGTGGGGAGAAACTTGGATAGGGAAAATAAAACAGATTCTTTGGATAGACTAGGGGCAGAAGGGGATGGGGTGGGAGGGATGGTTGATGGAGGGAGAGAATGCAGGAAGAGACAGCTAGAACTGGACGGCATTTGGGGGATGGTGTGGAAACCTAGAGCAATGGAAACTTCCTGGAATCCATGAAGGTGAACCTAATGAGGACTCCTAGTAATGGAGAATAGAGTCTGAACTGTCCATCATTTGCAGCCAGGCAAGGCTTCCAGTGGTGGAACTTGGTTGCAATTGGTTAAATAGTTGCTGAGGAGGTCCTGTGGAGATCCCTAAACAACCCAGGCTGATGGTAGGACAGAAGGTCACTCTCTGAAAACTGACAGTGGGGCCCAATTCTGAAGACAACTCCACACAGCCTGAGGTTCAGCTGGGTGGTCTTGGAGCCTTCGCTTCTACATTCTAGTCTCTTTGCACAAGATGGTACTCTGCAGGCTACCAAAAGAGAATCCTGGACACCAACCCAGCCACAAAACCCTCTATCTACAATCTGTCCTGCCTGTAAGATGTTTGGGGACAATGGTCGTGAAGAACTTGGGGGAAGTGGCCAACCCAAAGAGAGAGCCCATGCCCTATATCACTTGGACGGCCAGAAACCAGAGACTGGATTAACCAGAGACCTAGTGTAGAACCAAACACAACTGGTCTGAAAAGTAAAAGCAAGGAAATGATTCCTAATGATATTCTGCTATACTCATCAGAGGCTTCCTCCAATAGCAGATGCAAACAATTATAAAAATCTATAGCCAGAGATTACAAGGAAAGAGTATAAATTATCTCCATCAGGTCCCCTGCTTGGAGATTGAGGAGCCCTGTGGAAGAGGGGGAGGAAAGACTGTAGGAGTCAGATGGAATGGAGGACACAAAAAGAATAAACCCTACTGAACCGACCAGGCAGGGCTCCCAGAGACTGAAATGGCAAGCATGGGGTCTGTATGAGTCTGAACATATATGCAGGTCTTTGCATATATGTATGGCACTTAGTTTGGTGTTTTTGTGGGACTCCTAACAGTGGGAGTTGGGGGTGTCTCTGACTCTTTTTGTCTTACTGAGGTGCCTTGCTCAGTCTCGATAGAAAGGCTTTCACCTTTCTATCCCTTTCAGAGGACCCACGTTCAATTCCCCGTACCTACGTGGTGGCTCACA